AACTTTTTTTTTTTTTTTTTCCCTTTTAATTTTGTTTCTTCGGGCAAATGCAGGCCCTGAGGCCATTTGGTCCTGAGTGCACGTGTCCGGCACCAACAGCACAGGAGGACGCAGCAGGCAAAGCCGAGGGCAGGCGTTTGTGTTTAGAGGTAGTCGCTGCCTTCGCCTCGCATTTTACACCCCAGCCTGGCATGGTATTGGTGAGACGGCTGCGCTTCATCGCTGCCTGCTCCTGCCGAGCTGCAAAAGCCAGACCCCGAGAGCCGCGCAGAGAAAAGGGACCAGCGGGAGCCAGGCAACTGATTCCCCTCCAGAGCAACAGTTGCCTTCTCAGGAGATTTCAGGGCCTGACCTAGCTCAGCAGATGCTCGGTGCATAGCCTGGAGAAAAGTTGGAGGCACTTTGTGCTTTCTCTAGCCTGCCACACCAACCCGCTGGAAGAGTGGTGCCAACAGCCTTCGTGGAGGGGCGCGCCAGCACTACAGAAAAGGGTGGACAACGCACAAGGGCAGACAGAGACGGAAAGGGCCTCTTGTTGCCGCACCTCGCATAGCTGTTTGAGAAAGAATAAGGGCAACTTGGTTCTGCTGCTCGCAGGCGTGCTGCACCGGCTCGCCCTCTGTGCTTTGAAGGCCTGCTGCAAACATCCTGACAGATGGAAACATCTCGCTTGGCACATCCTCCTATGAGTAGTGTACGATGTGACCTGGACCACAAAAAGGGCCTACGTCAGCTAAAAAACTCCTAAGATTTATCACTACCTTACATGCAGACGTGGGAGATCTGATCGGGCTGAGAATGTGTTAAAATTGCTCAGGCTGCTGCTAGTTCCCCAATATGCAAGTCCCGTAACCGCGCTCCCATGAAGAATCTGAAATATCAAGTGCACTGGAAAAAAGGGATTGTCAGAAGAAAAAACCTATAAATACTACAAAAGCAACATTACTGAGTGGGAACTGGACTGGTCTGATAGCAACTTGTTGGATCACACAGTGGTTTCTATAGTCTCGATCACCTCCATTTCACACTGCGAGGGTGACAAGAGTGGGCATTCATCTGGTTCCCAGCTGCTATCCGGGCTGTAATCTTCTTCTGAACTGAGCTCGGCCACCCCTTCCGTGTCCTCGTCACACGACTCCATGTAGTGAACGCCCACGGCGTTGATCCCAGAGTCCTCGGAGCTGGAAGGGGACGAGCAGTGATCTGGTTTTGGTGTATTGCTCTCTTTTGTGATTAAGGCATTGCGAACAGGGGCTTCCTCGGGCTTTATCTTGTGGGGCACGGGGGGCAGCTGCCTCTGCACGTAGCACATCTTCCCATTGATGCATTTCACGCGGTAATTGTCAATGAAGAGGTCTGCGATCGTGCAGAACTGGGGGGAGTCGGGGGGCAGAGGGGGCTGGAAGACGGGCGCAAACTTCAAAAAGTGTTCGGTGAGCGAAACGGAGATCTGGATGGTGTTTGTAGACTCCCGAGGGCGCACGGGTATTTCAGTGCTGGGAAGCTGCTCTACGGGTGTCATGGGCTGATAGACATATTTACCTGCGGGGAAAACAGAAAAGCAGCATTTAAAGGTTGTTATTTTTAAGTTGGAAACAAACCAATGGCACGACACTCGCCTTGGCCGTTAATAACCAGCAGCTCCCTGCAGCCAGCAGCTGCTCTGGTGTTCAGTCCTCTCCTGGTACGGAGTCTCTGCTGCTGAGCACTGCAGTTACCTGCAATAACCTTCCTTCCCCCAGCCCCACGCCTCTCCCTGCCCCTGCTTCAATGACATATGAAGGACATCACTGACTCTACAAAATTGATTCCAGGAGCACAACTCCGTAGCTCAGAAGTCGGACAGATGGCAAGTCTGCCTGCACCCCTTTCTAGGGGGAAAAAAAACCCTGAAAAGATGCTCAGAGACTTTTTTTTTTTTCACTGAATGCAGAGCAGTTCTGGCTTACATCTTTGCTACAATGATCTAAATTTTATTATAGTATTATTATTCCAAATTACAATGAGTCTCCCTGCATGTGTTTCAGTGTTCTTTTTCTTCTGGGATTAAATGCTGTTTTTCTGTATTACGAACCAGAGGTTCATACATGACTGCAATTAGAATCTTAAGGCAGAAAATAAGGGAATTCCTGAGCCATAGAAATGCTTTTAGCATCTTGATTATCTGGCTAAGTAGTAAGAAAATAGGATTATGTTAGTTATATAGAGCTGAACCAAGTGTGAACTGAAAATCTTTTTAGTAAAAGAAATAAATATAAGAGCAGAAAATCAGTACTTTGTTAGGAAAAAATGAGAAACCTGAGGCTATGCCTAAGACTGTAAAATGCTGCATTTTATTTGCATGAAGCCGCTGAAAGATTCATGTCTCCCTAGGGGTTCATACACTATGAAAGCACAAATTTCCAGAAGACTTGTGAGTAGCGGGGCTCTCAGAAGAGTTTTGATGCACGAGTTGCAAATATTGCTTTATAAAGGTAGAATAAGCATCAAAGCACCGAAGGACTGTTTGGATGCTTGAAGCTCACTGGGTAGAGAGCAGAAAGGCACCAAAGTCTCGCTGCATTAATAAATCCAGCTGCGCCGTGATGAGATCTGCCACACGTTTTTGTGTCTGCAGCTCAGAGGTAGGTGCAGCCCTTCTCCCTCGAATTACCCATTCCTTTGGAAAAGCGGAGCAGTGATTGTGTTTCTGCTCAGGGAGGCTGAGCTTGGCCTGGACCAGTGGCAGAAGAAAAGGGCTTTCCTCTCCCCAGGGAAGGGCTCCCTCCCCCTGCCATGCCTCTTTGCAGTAAAAAATCCCGTCTCAGCTTGGGAATCCTTCCCAGCTGTGGGAAGAGCTCTGACTGCAACAAGTTCCCAGCCAGTGTGGCAGTCGGTGCCCCAGCCGCCTGTTGAAAGCACTGGCAACGGGATGGGCTGAGAGATCCCCACTCTTGGCTGCGGCAGGCTCTGGGGTTGCCTGGCTCTGCCAGCCCCGACGAGCCAGGGCCCACGCACAGGCTGTGCTTTGCCAGCCTGGCTCCAGTACGTCACCAGGGGAAACCTCGGGCGCTGGGGAAGGCTTTTCCCACCCCTGCTGCGCCATCGGTATTGGAAGGGAAACTGCTTGTGTGAAAGCCGGCTGTGCTCCCCTGCTGGGACTTTGAACCCCCATTGCTGAAGGACAGGGAGAACAGAGGAAACGCCACAAAGAGCGCAGAGCCGAAAGAAGAGCTTGGGGAGCACTGGAGCGTGGGAGAGGCACGCTGCGAGGCCAGCGCATGCAGAAAGCAGGCTCAGAGGAAGGAGCTGAAGAGGAAAGCCTGCCCCTGTCGTGCCATGGGAGAGAACAGCCAGCCCAGAGAGAGCAGCAACACGGTGGCAGTGGGTGGGCAGGGGAAAAGAACATCTTGTGACTAGATTTGACCAGCTCCCCTCCACTACCTCATTGTGCACTTTTTTCCTATGATCTGCGGAATGGTAATTGTTAACAGAACAGTGGAAAAGCTCAGTGAAAATAACCCAAGCTGCTTTTCCCTCCCGATTATGGCTGGATGGCAGAAAATACAAAGACATCCTCTCCACTTGCCATCTTTTTAACATACCTTGGTCTAGTTTCTAAACCTGCTGTGACGCTGAGGAATTAAGTGCTAGCATCAAATGACTTAACGCTTCAGCCACAGCAGAGCAGAGCTCCTACTCCTCTGGTGCCCTTTGGAGCAGCAGCACAGCCCTTTCGGTTCTGGCGGTCACTGAGGGATGGGGTCTCTCGGGCATTTTTCAAATCTTGCTGACACAACTTCTCTGGGAAGCAATCTGAGGCGGGTGAGTAGACCCTACCGTCACAACCTGCTGTAACAGCAGCAGTCCACGGCTTCCTGCCATCCGCTGGTCTCCAGAAATCCTTCTTTGAAATTAGTGAACGTTAAATATGCTACTGTCTCGCAAAGCGACACAGACGACCGATTAGTGTGCTGCTGGTTGGAACAGTGGCTGATAAAATTCAGCTCACGAAACCTGAAATGCAGCCTACCCTTGCCTGAAACCACGATGCTGTATTTATTCATATATTTGGAATGCTTCTGTGTGGGCTCCTATTCCATTCCATTGACAACCAACAATAAGAAACAGATATTAGTGAAAAAAAATTTCTCAACTCAATTTTGTGCCACCTTCAAGGAAGGCCCTGGTGAAAATTTTAACAGGACGAAGAAAAAAGGTATCTGCACAACAGGACTATACTTTTCCACTTAAAATAGCCACCATGTGCTGGCAGAAGACTGGGGGATGTTGGGAGAAGAAAGGAGGGGATTTACGCCAAGGTAGCTTACAGCATGGACACTGAACGATGAATCCTTGATTCATCAGTTTGACTTCTTCCCCCCCAAAAAAAGTGGTGGCAGGGGGAGATGAGGGTGAGGTGTTACCTGGGAGCTCAGCTGGTTGTTTTACCATTGCAGCAGCAGCATGTGATAATTCTCTGCATGTTTCAAAACTGCCCTGCTGGCACTAATTTCAGGGTAGAAGAAAACAGCGGCTATTCTGTTAACAGAGGATTTCAGATCCCCATTTGTGTGACCTCACAGTGGCCGAAACTGTTTCCTCACATTCCAAGGACAAGCTCTGCCAGGGGAAAAGCAGGAATCACCCAATGGAAACTAGAGAATTTTCTACATGTCTTTAGAATTCTGGTACAAGTTGGTTAAGTTTCAGCTCCTTTTAGGGTCAAGTTTATTTTAGACAGATTAAACTTCTGTTTTAAAACATGATCAGGTCCCTCTTTAAGGGACGCTGATGCTCACAGCAGGGCCCCTCAGACTGGATCGCGAACAAAGCTGTGGTTCCAGCCTCAGTTACAACTCCTTACCCTACATCATGTGTGTAAACGTATCCTATGAAAAGGAAATGCAGAAATCTGAAAATAAGATTGCCCCTGTAGCTTGCAGGGATGTCTTTTTCACAGAAAATTATCCCAAAAGCTCAAGTCCCCAAGTTCTCTTATACGTCTTGCTCTGATCAAACTCCCACTGAAATAAACAGCAATATTTTTGCTGACTTTAAACAGCTGGCAAAAGTCTATGATGAAATAGTATTTTGAGCACCTATTCTGATACATTCCTTTTAATATGCTAGCACGTAATTTATTGCCTATTTATTCCAACCAAGTCAGTTGAAGAACTCTGCAATTGAGCTGCGCTGATGAATGCTCCTGTAAATTACAGCGTTTTGCACAAATACAGATGCCAGACTAGACACTGCATCACAAGTTGTTTCCTGGGTCACTTGCCACCGCTGCCTACGCGGAAGACGGCAATTCGGTGAAGGAAAAATACTGCACATGCCGAACACGTGTCCAAAACCATCAAACTCTAAGTTCTGTGAAAAGCAGTTTGCTGTGTTTGCAGAAGTTTGGGAAGCTCTCGAGCACTGTAATGGCTTCTATGAAGGAGTGTCACAGTTCTGGCTCTGCAGTTCCACCACTGTGGCCAAAGGGCTTGGGGGAATGAGCCCATTCCTCTCCCAGGTGTTTAACAGGAAAAGTGTGAAACCAGACTCTGCCAAAATTATTTTCATGGTAAGTCTCAACTATCCATGACAGCCATATGCTAACAGATGATATGAAGAAATGTGAGACAATGCGAGACTTCAGAAGCAGGTATGTAGGCTATGCTTAACTATTTGCCACAACTGAAACCCTGCACCAGGACCTACGCTTTCTGCTGCCATGTGCTCACAAAGCGTTACCCTCCATAAACACTGCACCTCGTTGTCTGATCCCAGTCACACAGTGACAGCAGTTTGTGCACAACTAAAAAGGACCAATTGGGGTTTTTTCCATCTCTTCATTGTTCAACTGACCCTTGTGAAAGCCTGAAAAACCAAATCCTCCAGAGAATTAGCACACGCTAAAGCCAATACTCAACTGCAAAACAACTATTCCAAACGTGTCCAAGGAGGTAAGTACTGGGAAGTGCTCATCTCCCTGATTTTCTCCTCACAGAAATATGATTTTTATTGCCAGACTGGATGGATGCCGTTCAGCAAAGCCTGGGCTCTGTGCCTGCAGTGACACCTGCCAGCAGGTTAAGGCAGAATCCAGCAGAGCAGTGAGCTCTATCGTGACCTGCAGATCTTGAGCAAACTCACGCAACTTGGAAAATTTTTTATGCCCAAAAGTAGGTGCACACTTCCATATAATATATGAGGTCTGTTTGTGGCACTGATTACCAGAACTATGTGGTTGATTTGATTGGAAGCTGTGTTATAGTGTCTCCTGCTTACACAAACCAAATCCAAGCCTTCAGAAGCAAGCCACGAGGTCATTTCTTCCTGATTTTTTGCTAATTGAGCAGTCTGCATGCATCCTCACCGAACAGACACAGCAGCAATTTCCGTGGCTAATACAAAATAACTTAACCATGAAATAAGCAGAGGTGCTGCTTAAACATTTTATTCTCCACTTCCCTTCGTCCCAGCATTCTAGTTTACCTCTGACACTCATTAACATGCTTGGCATAGTAAAAAAAAGAACACATCCATCTTTCAGCAGTGAGGTTTCTCGTAACAAATTCTCAAGTTTTACCCTCTCTGGGCGCTGGAGGAGAACCAGCTCTGATCTCACCGGAGGTTTCGGTGCCTTTGGCTGGGATGTATGATTCCGGAGGCTGAAGTAGTGACCTCGACTGTAGGGCAAAGCACATGGGCTGACGTTTAGGCAGCTGTGTGTTCCCACCAAATAACAGTGAGCAAAGAATGTGTGCAGCTGGTGTCCATGCTGTAAGAGCAGAGAGCTGCTCTTTAAGTGTTGGTGACTTGTTTCTTCTTGAACCTACACCTCTGTAATGGCACCAGTGATCTTTGGTTGCAAAGTAAGCCAGGATTCTCACTCCAGCCATGCAAGGCTCTCACTCCAGCCATGCAAGGCTCTCTTATTGCCACACACAACCTTGCCAAAAAAATCAGCCTACATCAGTCCCACTATGAAGAACATAAAAAGAAACTCTAAGTATCATACAGCTTTGAAGGAGTGAAGGCAAAGCAAGTATTCCTAATGCATGTGTAACAGGAGACAGCATTAGCTTGGAGCGATTCTGCATTAGTCTAAGGAGAGTTCACAACACAGAGGCTCTTCCACATCTCTCTGCATGGGGAAACCTCAGAGTTCAGCTTCTCAAGCACTGTCTGTCTTCATGGCAAAAGATGGAGAACTACCAAGTGTTCCTCCAGTGGGACTTGTTTCATATCTCACCAGCGTGGCAGGAGAGACAAGTCTCTCTCTTTAGGAAGAGCCGACTGGATGCACACCCCTCTGACATCTAAATGAAGTTGTCTCGCAGGTGATGACAGCTACAAGCTGGAGTAGTGTGTTGCTGCCTGGATTGGCACGGTAGCCCAAGGACAACATATAAACTGTCAAACACCCAGCTGGTTCTCCAAGATCCCTGGGGCGGTGGGTGGCACAGGTGGCAGACAGCTCTGCCGTAACAGACTGGCCTGCGGTCGGCCCCAGCCCATGCATGGAGAAGAACTGGGTATCGTTTCACCCCGACAAAGCAGAAAGTGGGGGCAGACAAGAGGGTTTTTCTCCTTTATGGACTAAAGCAAAGCTCACTGCCCACAGTCTGGAACTGTACATTGACAAGGACTCAGCACCCTAAGCCTGCTTGAGGTCCCCACCACACCTTTTTTTCAGAAGCGTTCAGCAGAGTAGAAGGGTCAGCTGAAAGTGTGGTACTGGTCTGAGCACCTACACAGGGATGCTGCCTTCCAGCCCCGCAGGCTGCAACAGAGGACAAAATGGCTACCTCTGGCCTTCCTCCTCCTTTTTTTCTCCAGTTATATGCACAGCTTGGGACAACAAACCTTTGCAAACAGAGATTGCCCTAACCATAAATATTCACCAAGGACTATAATAGCTTCAAATTACACTTTGCTTAGAGCAGGTAATAGCTTTCCCAGAGGGGCGAGAACAAATGGAAGGAGAAACCCAGAGTACATTTACAGATGGCGCACATAAAAAACCACTGCTAACCCAGTTTCCATTTCTTTGTGTCGTACAGAACAGCCATCGTGTTGTACCTAGCAAAACATCATGGGCTGTGTTGGGAACGTGAGACATGGAATAAGTCACCAGAGAAAAAGGAAAATATTTCAGGACTCTGAGGCACTGTCAGATTTGCAGTACAAGCTCAAGTACAGCTGAACCATGCCATTGGTGGTTATTATGAAGCATAACTAAGATGTTTGTTGACGTTGAAGGAGCCTCATAAAGAGGCTCACACCTCAATGCAAGGGATACTTTTCACCCTGCGCTTCTTCCAAAAAACTTTGTAAAAGCACTGTGATTGTTGAAACAAATTTCTAGAACGGGGAACACAAACAGAGCATCCTGCACATTTCCAGTCCTTCTGGCATAGGTGGAAGGCACAGTAAGGGATCATAAAAGAGACTCCAAGGACACAAGCCAGCTCTGCAAAGGAACACTCAGTTATCCCCCCCCCACCACCACCACCACAGGAAAAGAAGCCATGCAACAGGACCAAAGCAGTCTGGAAGTAACACCAGGATACATTAGCAGGCTCTGACCTAACATGCGCGCATCATTACAAACAGCACCTTCTCACAGAAGCACCTACATCAGAGCACTAACAAATCCGTCCCAGTCCCGACCTCATCCAAGCACAGAAAAGAACTGGTCTAGCAATGTTTCTGCAGTGGCTCCCCCAGCAGCGATTTTGTACAGTTGCCAGTTCCCTGCTCATGGGAAGGAGAGGTGTTCCCTCTCCTTGCTGTACAGAGAGAAGCAGCTGTGACAGCCCTTGACTTGATGAGCCATAAGCTTTTCACAGGAAACCAAGGCGGGGGGGGGAATCAGCAAGTTTTTCTTCATCAAATTTGTATTTTAATACCCTTTTGTCTTGATTTGTTTCAAATACAGAAAGGATCATGACTGTACATGCTGTGAGCTGTCTAAGTCTTTCAGGGTTTTCTGTGCACGTCTGCTTAAGAGCAGGTAAGTCTTAAAAGCAAACAGACCCTGGAGCTTCATCTATCATTCTTGCTCTTTCCCCATTTCTTACATGGATTTACCAGACTTAAAGAAAAAAACAACCTGGAGGCTTGAGAAATGTTTCATGTAGCCCTAAACCCTCTTAAAGGTGCCATATTTGCTTACTAACCATTGTAAGGAAAGAGAATACACCCAAAATAGCAACGAACAACAGTGCATGCCACATGGGCATTCCCAAAGGGGCTCCCTCCTCTCAGTACCTGTGCAAAGCGTCACGCTTACCACAGGTACCACCACCGCCAGCCCCATGCTGGGTTACAAGAACACACACCCACCCCAGCGCAGGGAGCAGACGCTCTTGGGTTACCTCCACAAGCACAGCTTACCATGAGCACAGCAGCTAAGCTCTGGCTATCACAACCTGAGCTCTGAACCCAAGGATATTTGCCTTCCACCATCCCTTTACAAAGCTACCCCTAAAGGGGAGAACAGCCACTCTTTGCACGTTTCCCTGAAAAATTTTATCCCCAACTTACATTAGATATTTTTGAAATTCGGTAGAGAAGATAGCAAAAAAAATGGCATAGTGCTAAATATTTATTCTACAAAACCAACCCTGTGCACCATCTGCTCAAGCTTCAGCATCCCATCATTTTCACGCAGACAGTCGGTGTGCTGATATGGTAACAAAGACGGATAAGCACAGATCAGTGGCAGAAGCTACCTAGAAAATGAAGGCATTTCCTGGTACAGAGAAATCACAGGCAACAGAGACACAAGTTCCAGCCTTCTTCCAGGTGTGTAGTACCTGCTGCAGGGGGGCACCCATGATCCCCTGTGTGCAAAGGCATTCTTTTCCTGTGAATTCTCAAATAAGCAGAACAGCTCATGGGTTTGTGAATGGGAAGTCCTCTCCAAAGGACTGTACCATGCAAGAAAGACCCCCAGGAGAGAGCCCGGATAGACAGCTGAGCGTGGAGGTTGGGTTTTGTAGCTTGGAACAGACGGGTCTTTAGAGTTACCGCCTGTTTTGCTGGTGGGCTGACACGAGAAGTGATGGCACATGCATTGTGCTGTACCTGTGCTGCTCCCTTCATCTTGTCAGAGTACAGGGTCTCCTGCTGACAAGTCACCTGTGCGCCAGCCTTCTGGGCTTGACAAACAACAGGTTCTTCAACTTCACTGCTGGGAACAGTGTCCTTATTATCAATACAGGCCTTTCTTTTAACCTACTGCCTGGTGCCTATCTACGCCCATTTCCATTCATACTTTATTCAAACCCATCTTCATATTTCTATTACAGGCCTCTACTGAACCCATTTCTGGAGAATTTAAAGAACTACTCTCCCTGCTTACACCCAGACTACATCACCACGTGGAGCCGATGTGTGCAGGTACGGGTGCCAACCTTCCCTCAGAGGGATGTGGGATCCAGCAATGCTCTGTGTGAAAAAATAAAAGACTAAGGACGACCCTTGGAGGCAGAGGAGGTGGGTCATCACATCACACCGTGCCACTGCAGGCAAGTAGCTCAGAGCAGCTGGACAACGCAGGTGAGAGCAAACTCAGCACTTGCTGCTGTAGCACGGTAAGTGAATGCTGGCAGAGAGGTAAAAGCATCGCCCTTGGTTTCACACCAAAAGGGCCAAGATCCCACAGCACCAGCTGGGGAATGTTGAGATCTAGTGGCACAGGGTAGGAAAAACAAAGAAAAAGGTGAGCGTCTCCTTTTGCCTGCCCTGCCTATGGATGGGCTAATGCTGGTGGGCTGCAGAAAACTGCAAGAGCTGATCAGTCCACCCGGACAGAACCAATGGTGTCCAAGTCTTTCACCAGGGACAAGAGGCAATTATGAGTGAGTGCAAATACCCAGAACATGGCTCAGGATGAGTGAAGCATTGAAATCCAAACAACACGGGCAGCCACACAGCACGAAGCGTGAAGCAGCCAAGCACCCTGCTTGAAATGGCTGCAGGTGTGCTCCAGCACCACCATCGTGTGTCAAAGCAGCGAGAGGCACGACAGCAGAGCACGCTTTCTCTGGGCACAGCAGGGAAAAGGTTTCAGGGCTGGGTGCAAGTACACAAGCAAAACAAGCAGTCTGGAGAGCACGCATGTGGGTTCTCAAGCTCCACAGCCACCAGTGAGAACAATAATGCAAATGCATGCCTCTTGTTGAAATTGTTTTACAACATAGGTTATATATAAATTCCAACTGTTAACGTCACCTAAATTAAAAGTATGTGTATATTAAAAACAAGGCCCAGTTACCAAGCAATCAGGTTTTACTTTCCCAGTAAGTTTTTTACTTCCATCTATGTGAATATACTAAACTGTTGGCAAAAACATCTCTAAATTGCACCAACTGCACTTCTTGAATTCTGTGATCAGTCACTACATAAAAATTGATTAGTGGAAGAATGAAAGCCATTATGAAAACATACTCTGTATCTTGTGGACAGATAAATTAATGAAGGTGCTGGAATAAAAACCACAACATGCTAAACCACGGTCACTTTTTATGCAGAGAGAGAGAGACACACATATATACTACCTGGCATCCAATCTACTGTCAACCAGCTTTTTACATTAGTATAAGCTTGTGCCATCCATCAACAGCTAAGCCCACACTGTCACAGCTACCATTCTGGAACATCTTACAATGTTTGTGAGTAAAGCATTTTGCTTTTTGTCCCTTATAGAAACAAAAATTTCTGGTATAGCCTTACCAACGTGCAGAACTAAGTTACCAAGGGTTGAAGTGAGTCATGAAGTGTAAGGCAGCGTTGGTTAAATTGAGAGCCATTACATAAAAACATCCCAAGATGTCCATTCTCTACAAGCCCAGCTCAGCTGGTTGTGGCCACATGAGCAGCAACAAAACAAGTTCTTGATGAGCACACAGGTGCTGCCAGGAAATTTGAGGTCCTGTGCCAAGTACCTGAAAGCCCTCTTCAGTGCTTCCAGCAAACCTGAGCACACAGTCAGCTCTGCAGCCCCACAGGATGGAAACCATGAAGATGACAATCTCATGACTCAGTTTGTCTCATAGAACAATACAAGGATATGACCACGGGCTGTGGTTTAAGACACGCGAAACATCCATCAGCAACCACAAGAGTAAGGATAACGCATTAGAAGGCACTGCAGTCATACACTTTTGCATTTAGGTGCCCCGGAGTAAACACTCCCGCAGATTCAAGCTGGCAAACAGATTTCCTCACCTGCAGAGTCCAGGAAGGAAGCCACACACTTGCCACAGGCGCTGTACTCCAGTACAAATTTTATCTTTGAGCTATTACTCTGCAGGGAGAAAAGTGCCTGAAGCCTTTTACCAGAATGAAGATCTCTGAACAGGAGCAGAGGCTCAGCTTTCACCACGAAGGTGTTCAGAATGTCCCGAGTCCACAGACAACCACAGCAGCTGACAGTACACAAAGTTAATGAACTTTTCCTTCAGAAGTACTTGCTTCTGGTAGGAAACATCCACAGCCTCCTTGTTTCAGGCTGCTCCTGAGCAGGCTTCATGAAAACAGCAGGTTAACCCTTCAAACAGCTACAGAGGAGTGGTGTCATTTATCTGCAACTCTCGGAGGCTCTTACCAGCAGATGATTGAGTTTTGGGCACTCTGTAAATCACGCTCCTCGGATGGACGGACAGATTATGAAACACAGCCTAGTAGTCATGCATGACAAACAAGAGTTTATGGCTGGCAGGAAGCATTTTGGAACACAAGGCCCCTTTTTCTCTGGACTTTTAGAGAAAGAAGTGAAGTGATTTCTGTTGAATCCTGTACAAGGCATAGAAGAGAGAGTCCTACAAGATAGACATACAGCAAGTAACTTGAATTCAAAGATTTTCCTGTGGTCTGTTACTGTTAAGCAATATTGGGGTTTTGTTAATAATAATGATAGTACATGCATGTCTCTAAACATAACTGCATTATAGTAAGGATTTCAAAATGAATGCCAGCAGGTTCTTTCAAAGGTGCTGATGTTCCCACAGGGTATGATGAATCTACACATGTGGGTTCTCTTTCTGAGACACAGCATCAACAGTACATTCATCCTGTGATTTGCGGATTATAACTAAAACCAGAGCAACAGAACACGATCCAAGTCCAGAATGGTGCACCCACAAAAAAATGGCAGTGTTTTCCCTTAAGAGTTACACTTCAGAATATATTAAACTGACATTCTTTCCTTCATTGTGTACAGCTTAGTGAAACAGAGCTAGAATATCATAGCTCTTCAAAATACAGGTGAAGAGAAGATTTTGCACAGCCACAGGCAGCAAATCCTCATTAAAAGTCTTTTCCCATTACAAGCTGAAAAATCCACCTTTCTGTGGCTCTTGCCTGATGCTCAGCATAATGCTGTGCTTGTGGACAAACATTTTGGCCAGATACACGGACTTAAACTGGATGAATGTTCAAATCCTTTTCACAGCAAAAGCAAATGAAAAACGCCTGTTTCTCCTAGGATTTGTAATCATCCTGCCACCAAGACAAGCTGTGTTTTCAGAGAACACCCAGCCCCAGAGTTCCTAGGCCCACTGCTGCATACCTCTTCAGAGTTTTCCACAAAGAAAAGGTACGAGCTACTCCAAATATTCAGTCTCAGAATTTAAAACATAAGGATGCTAAAACTCCCTTTTTGTGTTTATCCAACAACTCAATCATCAGGATACAGTTCTGCCCTGTGGAAAAGCACTGTGTGAAATTCAAATTGCCATCATCACTAGTGCCAGGCTGGCTACTTCTAGTAAGCTCCAGTCTACATCACCTTTCGCAGACAGATACATGCAAAGCACTGGTGCGCTACTGCCCTTTTGCTCTCTCCTGGACGCGGCAAAGAGTTTCGTAGCCACCAAAAACCAACATGAAGAAAACCCACCAGAACAAAAGCAAGGCTTTTGGAGATCTACAACATATGCAATGCTGGAGAGCACCCTGGGGCTTATTTTAGGATCCCCTCCAGGGCTGTAACTGCTTCTCTAACATG